TGTGAACTCTTTGAAAGAGATGAAACAGATGATGTTAAGATAAAGGTAATCCATTTGTTTGCGTTAGCCAAAAAAAAACATTTGGCAAGGTCTATTACCAAAGGCATAAAGACGTCATGAGATGAAGTGTGCCCTTTCTTGAACTAACAAATTGAAAAATAGGAAGTGAACAGACAGAGTAATTAGTCAGGTTTTTATTGTGGTAAAACAGCTGTGTTTCCTAGATGTGCTCAGGTTAGAGTTGTGCAGCATACTTAAAAATGTTCTGGAAAAGAGATTCAGTAGTGAGGCAACAGTGTTCATTACTGATGTTAAACTATTTAGGGTAGTGAAAACTGAAGTAAACTGCAGAAATTTGCAGGAAGATCTCATGATGTTGAGTCTCCAAATGAATTATATCTGACATTTCGTTGGTATTAATAAAAGCAAAATAATGCATGTGGGTAAGAGGGAGCTTGTACTTTGGGTATGCTGTGATGGTCTTAAAATTAAGTGTTACTGCTCAGAATAAGTATTTTAGAAATAGGAAGTGTCTGAAAATAATTACTAGCAACAATCAAAAAAACTAGAAGAATGTTAGCAATCAGCAGGAGAGAGGGAAAAGGAATATATTGTGCTTAAGTCCGCAGTACAGTAGCATCCTGAATGCTGCTTGCAGTTGTGGTCATCTCTAATATCTCAATGTAAGATATATATATGTGTATCTAAGATGTAGAAAAGGCTAGTAGGGTAACAAAAATATGAAATGATTTTCAAATGAGAAGATAGCTGAAGGAGAATATCTCTAGTGCTATGGCTGGCATAGAAAAAAATGTAGGAGCAGCAATTGCTCATTGTTTCTTGTCTCTAAAACAAAGAAATTCTTTCTAGCAGTAAGTGGTCTGCTGCAGTACTCATTGTCACAAGGTATTCTAGACACCTAAACTGGATGGGAATGCAGATGTAGGTCTGAGCTATTACAGCTCTCATCTCAGGAACTTCTTACACTACCAAAATATGGGGAAAGAAGGGGAGGATTAGGTAACATCACTCTGCATTTGCCTTTCTAAAATACTCTGCCTAAACCTTAGAGACCAGCCACAGTGTTGAATAGATCTTGCTGGATATTTTTGTGGTATTATATTCTGTAGAAATGCCCTATTCTGAATATACAACACTTTCAATAAATAAGGAACGTGTTACAAATATCTCCTTATTTTGCAGAGCAATCAACAGTTCCTGAAAACTGTAACAGAACAGAATGTGGAACTAGAGCAGCTACGAAAACAACTGAGGTATAACCCAGACAATTTTAAAAACTATCAAATATCTTTTCTGTTGCTTTTTCTAACCTGGTGCTGTATCATGGGTCTTGTTTGTACTGCAGGCTGACTTGATAGTGATAGTTAGGATGGTTTCAGTTAATGCCTCAAGTTTGTTACAAATGTGTGTATGGTGTGTTAGGGTAGCATGTTTCCATTTAGTGTTGTTTGGTTCAGCTGTTTCCTGAAATAGTCAACATTTGACCTTTGAGTTAAAAGGAACAAAGTCACAGCAAAATTGACTCTGGAGATAAGTTTTCATTAGACTACAATTTGCTCAAAATCCAGTTACATTATTACTCGTTACAGTTCTGAAATTTGAATGTTCAAAGTAGTTTCAACTTTTAATGTTTTTAGCAAAATTTCCATTCACTCTTTCTCAATAAAGAGCTCTAAGCCATAGACTCTTTGGAAGTTAGAGGTAAGAGAAGTGTTAATTATATTCCTCAAGTATATCAAGGAAAATGGGAAAAATACCTGTGACAACTTCATGATTATTTCTATTTACAGATGTGGTCTATTCAATGCCAGTTTACTGTATCTGTTAACTCTCTTAATTAGTGATGGTTGAGGTCATACTAAAATTTGATTTCGGTAAACAGTGGATTTTCAGACTGACAATAAAAAGGAAATGTATTCATTATCAACTAGTGATACTTTTTTTGTATAGCGTTACCTAAAGCTTTAAATAAGCTTTTAAAAATAAGCTTTTAAGTTTATAAGCTTAAAATTTATAATGTACTTAAATTTTGGTTAATTATTAAATTTTTCTTTTAGTGATTGTAACTTCCTTTGACACTGATTAAAATACCCAAATAAAGGTAGAAATAATTTCCATTTTTATGTAAACAGTTAAAGATGGCTCTGTGTTTGTGCATGTCTGTGTGTTCATGCACTCAACTTTGTATGCAGCTGTTGCTGGCAGTGCTGGTACTTAGAAACCTACTTTGGTTGAACACACGCTGATACTGATTTTATCCCTCCAAGAAAGAATGGCTGCATCAGGCATTCCCTCTCCTCTCTTCCAAACCCATACAAAATATTACATAAAGAGCAATTGGTATCTATTGTAATAGTAAGTGCTTTTCACTGTAAAGATTGGGTGTTATATAAATTTCAACATCTGTTTAATGAGTCTGGTTGTACTATTCATAGATACTAAAATTACTGTGTCACAATACCCACGGTAAAAGATACAGGCTTAGAGTGAATGAACAGACTCATTAGCGTTGAATATTGGTCATTGTTGAACATTTATTAACCAATTTAAAAATTGGTCTTTTTTTCAAGATTGGTTGTATCCAAACTTTCTTTCTGTTAGAGTAATAAAAATTAGCTGCTTCTAGTATTAAGCTTTCACCCCCTGCTTGGTAAGTTTATGGTTTACTTACTAGAAGAATTTTGTTTTAAACAGTGTTTATTTTTACATTTCCTTTGTACAATAAATTTAGGACCAGAATCTGCTTACAAATGCCGAGTTACCTCAGTCAATGAAGAGGTGTTTTTGAGAGGGACTTGTTAGCACCTCTCATTTTTGTTAGCCACGATTTCTCCATGGAAAAAAAAAATTCAAAAATAGTGTTTTTTGGAGAATGAAAATGTTGTGACAAGCAGTCAAAGCATAAATGGTGTTCAGGGTATTTGCTAAAATAAAGTATTTCCAAACTCAGTCATCACTTGCAATTTGCTTGTGCATGCTATTATTTGTTTCTTAAAAGGGAAGGAACAACATTTTCATATCCCTGCTCTTTTGGAATTTATTTCCTTGCAGAGGGTATTAGTATTGAATTACTGTTTTGGTATCTCATTCATCTATAAATCTTTGGTCTTGCATTGACGTGCTTACATTGACTCACATATTAAGTGAGCATGAAAGCAATTAGCATTAACTGAACCTATTTTAGACATTCAATAAATGCTATCAACATTCAGTTTATTACTGCATTTCTAACACTTCTAGTGGTTTTTCTTTTAAAAAATAAATAAATAAAAACTTAAAATAATTCAGGATCTAGTTGAGCAGCAAGTTGAGTGTTTTCTGTCAAAATTACAGATGTCATGATTTCCTTTGGTCTCGTCTTTATTTCATTTTTTAAAAGGAAACTCTATTTTAGGCTTGATCATTGCAGTTATATGAAATTCTTTAATGATACCACTTTGATCAAATAATTTAGAATATGGCATGACAACCAAAATGGTTGAACTCTGATTCATAGTCATGCATATACACATGGATCTGTATAACTGTCTATATGGCAATGAGTGTGGGTAGTAGAAAGGAAGTGCATGTTTCCTGCTTAAACTACTGCTTTGGGAAGAAGTTATATTAAAAGGTAAAAGTCCCTGGGCCTGACTGAAAGCTAGTGGATCATCTCACTCTGAGCTTCTACGAATACATGCCCAAATATATATGCATATTTTTTTATTAGTTGCTGTTATATAAATAGTGAAATTGTGAGTGAATTTAGACTTCCATCTAAGTATCCACCAGGCTGGAGTGGTCATCTTCATTCTCATTACAGAACACTAGATTTCTGATTTAATATGTTCTAACTGGGGAAGACTGTTCAACACATGTGGCTTAAGCTAATCAAAGCAGTTGATTGCATGCCATTAATCAGTAAATGGAAAAACAGCGGCCTATATGTTAATGATCAATATTACAAATTCACAGGTAAACTAGGATACGAGGCATTTGCAATATATTAATAAACACACACAAATCTACAAACAGGCTTCTGTTTGATCCCATGAAGTACAGATTTCTCACACGCTTGCTTGCTTGCTCTTATATACGTACATACACCCTCTCCCACAGGAAGCGTGGATTAAAAGCGTCTGCACATGTGCACTTTTTGGGAAATACGTGTTCCCCCATCTGCAGCACCCCTCCTGCTGGAGGTGTGGGTGCTCCAGCTTCATGGGTATTTCTGCTGCTTCCCAAAGTCTGCTAGTTGTGTCCTGCTGAGAAAGCACCCCTGGGGTTCCCATACACACACCTGATACCTTGGTCCCCGTTTATTATTTCACCTGGGCTCTCAGCTGCGTGCAGGCTACTCCTGGGGTCCAGTGGGGCAGCTGCTGTCGGGCTTGGGAGAAGGTGGCAATGCCCATGGCATGACGCCTGGCGGGGTCAAACACAGTTTCATTGCTGGGCTGTCGCTCTTAAGGTCTGTCACCCACAATCACAAGTCTTCATGTTGCCTTTGAAGCTGTTGTCCTCTCAGATGTCTCTTTGTTTAATCTGGCTGGCGATGATCATGACCTTTGCCATTGTTACACTCCCCATAACATTGTCAGATTTGGGCAAAGAGGGTGTCAGAGGAATTTTGCGTCTCTAATTATGGGCACTCATTACACTCTCATTCCCCTCTGATGAGCTAAAAGTTCTTACAACCCTAAAACAGTACTATGTCATACTTAAAAAGCTAATGACAGCAGCTATATATGGCTCTAAAATAAGTGCTTATATATAGCATATACTGCAGATAATTCTAATCCTTTTGGATGTTTTTAATAGATTTACATTGATTTATGGTGATAGAATAATAAGTCTGGAGAGGAAAAGTAGATTTTTTATTTTTTTTTTAAAACCCACATATAAGAGAATTTAGGTTTGTATGGCCTAGATTGAGTGTAATTGAGCTTTTGATACTGCTAAGCTTATAAATGTGCATTGATAAGTTTTAGATATTTTAAGATTAATATATAGCAAAGTATACAATCTGACAATGCAGCCATAAACGCTTTAAACATACTACTGATCTATTGTCATCCTGTATCTCCAGTATGCATGCCTAATGGAAAACTGCCAGATGAAGTTTTGCCAAGTAGCCTGGGAAAAAGAAGACAAAATTAATAGTTCTGCTGGAAGTTATTTTCAGGATGATATTAGCTTTTATTCTTTAGATCAGCAGCTGACCTTACCCAAAATAAAAAATTGACATTTGGGCAAAAACTCCCTAAGAAGTGTTTGAGACCCAAGTCATTGTTTCTTATCAGTGTTAACATAAACTCAGTGTAAAAGATGCAGTTACACTGTACTAGGTACATACTATTTATGTACTGTTACACTTGCTATTAAAGGATCATAATCTGCCATGGGTAGAGGCAATGTAATATTTGATGTACTTTTTGTAGGAGAAAGGTGCATGATTCAGATGGACTAAGATCAAAAGTTTGGACCTGCAATGAGGGCCATGTCTGGGAATAATGTTTTTGTCTTTGGTTTTGCTTTTTAAAGAAATGATAACAAAATTAGCTTTTCTGATTAAGCAAACTGAAATTAAGCTGTAGAATTTGCTGGGATTATGTATATTTTACTTAAGATTTTCATATAGGTATAATATGTTCTTGGGTTTTATGTCATTAAATGAAAATTATTATAAGGAATTTTTGCTTGAAGTTGGTTTATAACAGTATTAAATATTTTCTAGCTTCTTTCATGGCTATTAGTGTTCCAGTTTGCATTAGCTTATCTAATGTTTGCTGTTTTTTAACTTTATCATACATTCAATCATTGGTCTTTAAATTTAGCTTAACATGCAGCCAATATGTAATTGGGTTATACCCCAGGTAAAGGACTCTGTATGCTTTTCTGTTCCCAGGTCAGGAGGGTTGCTCATTTCAATAAGCTTTTCTACTGAGAAGGAAGTCTGATTCATTAACTCTCTAAAATAAGTGCTTTTTTTTTTTTTTTTTTTACTTGTTTCTGTTTCAACTTGTTTCTGTTTCAACTTGTTTCAAACTTTTTCAGATTATAAACCACATCAGTTAAATTCTTCAGAGGTGGTTATTGATTTATTTTTTTTTAAATTCCTAGTCAAATTGCCTTAAAAAGTGAAATCTAATTCTGGAAAAGGATTCCATATTAAGTATCTGTGGTATATTCAAGTATTGAATCACTTAAAGTTTTTGATTGCCTAGTCCTCCCAAATATTTAAACAACACATACGCGTTCTTATTAAGCTACCTGTAAGAAGTAATTTCCACAGGACAGTTGTTTAATGAAGTTGGTATTCCTCTCTCACTGCCACATAGTAAGAAGGAGAAGAAAGGGGAAACCTTTTCTGCCCTGGAGGAACAGTATTGTGAAATCTGACTGCCCTTCACAGCTATTTCAACAAAGTTGTAATGGAGTTGGTTTTTTCCCCTGTAATAATTGAAATGTAATTCATAGACTGTTTTCTTTGTACAGGCAAGCCAAAATAGATGGGCGGACAGCAAATGCTAAGGTTGATGAAATGACCAGATTGACAGAGAAGCTTCGAGGCCAATTGGAGCGAAAGGTATTCTAGATAAAGGAAGAATTTTCTATTGAAATTGAATGGCTAGTCAGTTATCTGAATGGTGACATTAAATTGATCACAAGTTGTTCTCTAACTTGTTTTATGTTAGTATATCTTTATTTTGTTCAGGGAAGCTCAGGTGATGTCTGGATAATACATATATTCTTTCTAGGAAGAAGATGTGATATCCGCTCAGCAAAGAGAAACAGCATCTGACAAACGTTTGCAACAAATGCAGTCTAGTATAAAACAACTAGAAACAAGGTAAAGAGAGCTCATTGGGTGTTAATAACAGGATACATGCAAGTGAAATAAAATATTATGGGTTTTTCAGCCTCTGGGGTTTAGTGTTTCTGAGCAGTTCTGTTTTCTCAAATCTCTTTATCTCAGTTATTGTATTCTGCAACCTTTCAGAACAACTTCTGATTTCAATGTATTTAAAATGACAAAACAGACTATCTGATTTTATTGACTGTAATGAAGAAAAAATGAGGTATGTATTTTTCATTCTAGTGTATAAATTCTAGTTATTCAATTCTCATTAGCTTTAGGTGGAGCTGTAAAGAAAAACATTCATGCTGAGATTTGAAAATGTTTATGTAAACTAGCTGTTTTCAAGGTGAATACAGATTTTTCTTTACATGTTAAATAAAATTTCGTTTCAGGTCTAAGTTCAGCGATCTTTATGCAAAAAGGATTATTTAATAAAACTGTTAAAGCGTGGCTCTTAACAATAAATGCTATTTACAAAAGTAGTTTGAATACCTGCTAAAGAGTAGAACTTTTAATTCCAGCACTATCTACTGGAAAATCTAAGACTCGATCAGGTTCTTTTGTGGGGGTTATTTTTTCCCCCCCTCTTCACTTTCACTTAGCGAGGCACAGTGATTTTGATTTAAATATCACAAACAGTTGTTGAATTATTAACATTAGTCAAATGGCCTGAGAATTCAGGATAAGAAGAATTCATAAATTTCTTATTGAAGTAATTGTGTGACTGTTCATCTTCCTTTCTTGGACCCAGCCTTGTTTGCATGATTAGCAGGCTCTTTGATAACTCAAGAAACCAAATAATTACTAGAGAACCAACCTTGTGATTATGTGGTCAAGTACTGCCTCGAGGAGTTGTACATGCTTGTGTGGCTACCTCTACTTGGTGAATTTCACTGGCCTAAGCATTGTGCAGGCTCTAAGTTTATTTTAGAATGTCTTAAGGAATTAGCTAGTTTTATTATTTTCTGTAGATTTTTGGTTCCACAAAAATTGTGCTTTGGCTGTGCAAAAATAGAGTGGTTGTCTTTGTATGTTTTATTATAAATGTGTTAGACGGCAAAAAAGCATGGCTGCTTGAAAAGGCAGCCTGAGTGTTGCCAAAAGTGCTCACTATGGATATTTAGAACCATGCATTTTATTGAACCAGCAGCACTTGTAGAACTTTGAGACTTTTTTGAAGATACCTCTGAGACTCCTTTGCTCTTTCTCCTGCCTGCCAATACTGACAATCATAATTAAACAGTAAGAATTTCTGGGCTGTTGTAAAATTACCAGTGGTTTTCTTGTTCTAATGGTATAGATGCAACTTCATTGCCCACATCCAATTATTCCATTTCTTCCACAGAGGAAAACTTTATTCCTTCTGGGGCTGTTCTGTTCTGGTTTAATATAGAACATGTTCAGGGATGTATCCCAGGATAGCAACATTCTTCTAAGGATCTTCTGAGATTAGATATCTGATTAACTCCTTTAATTCTGTGTTTTTCTAGGATTTGATGAATATTAAACTCAAAGACTGTCCAAAACCAAGCAGAAATCCTGGAGTGCAGTTTTGGCAACTTACGAATAAATCCTATTTAGTTTGCAAGAATGTGTCTTAATTAAGCGTTTTATTGTTAAATGAGTAAAATTATTACTGTCTTGTAGATTACGTGTTACTGTCCAAGACGCTGAACAACTAAGAACAGAAAGAACAGCCCTGGAGCAACAAATCAGAGAGCTTCAGACAAAATATGCTAATGTAGAAAGGGAGAAGTATGATGCTGTTGCTAAAGTCCAAGATTGCATACAGCTCTTAGAAGAAGCTAACCTACAAAAAAGTCAGGTAAGGCAATGGATGAAGATAATTCTTAGATGTTAGAATACTTTCATCGCTTACAGTTGCGAAGTGTCTGATTATGTATTCTTACAGGCATACATGCATACACAACTAAGCTGCTTTTATGTCTGTTGTACAAAAATTAGTAACACATAAGATAGCAAACTGTGATATGACTGTACATTACTTGACTTGTCATACAGTATGCATTTCAAAGAATATGTTGAGTGCCTGGGTAAAGGTGATCTAAGTGATAATACTGTACCTGAACTTGAATTTTCAAAAGATTTTGACAGAGTTTCTTATCGAATACTTATGAACAAATTGGGCTGTCAGAATAAAAAGGAAGGTCTTGTTATGAATTTATAACTTGGTAATGGTTAGGAAAGAGGAGCTAAAACTAAAGGAACTTTTTTGTTATATAATGGACATAGGTCACCAAGAGAGCAAGTTCTGTGTTCAATCTTAATTATTCAGAAGAAATCTAGAAAAGTGACCAAGTAATGAGTGGGTGAAGTCTGCGGTCAGGAAAAAGTTGCAAAGACATTTATTAGTGTATTATAAAATGGCAGAAGAAATTCAAATGTGCCATAGTGGGTGCTGAATTTAGTCTTACCAGTCAGAAGATGTTTTAGGAGATGGTGTGGATATCTCTTAAGAATACATTCACACAATCCTCAGTGGAGCTCAGTACAATTAATAGAATGTTCAGAATGAGAGTTAAAAATAAAGATGCTTTTAAACGTAGTGCACCTTCTTGTGCAGTTTTGATCAACCCATTTCAGCAAGACATAGCAAAATTAGGAAAGTGCAGGAGAAGTCAACAAAGAAAACTAGACATGTGGAGAGGCCTGTCATAGGATGATGTGTATGCTAAAAGAATAGATACGAAAACAGTCAAATTCACGACAGGACAATCCACCAAAACTTCCTAAAGAACAGTCTTGATGTGTCTATTGATCAAAAAAAATAGTAACTCTGTTTTCCCAGTTCTTAACTTTCCTGAAGTATCTGCTGTTTTTAGGCTTTTAGAAATCTAATTAATTGTGTTTGCTGGTAAGACAGAACTTTAATGGACGTCTGATGACTGTAGCCATCAGTAAGTGAAACCCCGTTTAGTTAATGTCTGTGGGAATAAATGGAGAATCTTAGAATTGATTCTATTTGGGCTTACGTGTTGAACTGTTGAGCAGTTAAGGAGATAAATGCTCCCTTTTAGTCTGAAGTTGCTGTTCAAACTCGAGGAGCCTCCTGAGTATCTAAACTAGTTTTTTACTTTTAACTTCTGGAATATTAAAGTGAGTGTTGCTCTTGCTGATTTCAGTTCTGTGACAAAGGAGGCAGAAAAAGATACTAACTTCTTTAAAGAGATCCTGCTACTTTCTGGCCTGCTTCCAGAATAGATTAAAATACTGACAAAGCTTAGGGTTCTGGTTATTACTGCAGTTAAACCTCTGTGATTCTTGTTGTTATACAAAAGAGCATTATCATCCTGTTATAGTCTTTCTTCCCATATATTTATAGTAATTTAGGAAACTCTTTGGAGACATCTTTTCATAATTTCCTCATAACTTTCTGCATCTCATTTACTTTATGAACTGATTTACAATTCCCTTTACCTGTTAGGCTGTGGTTCAGAAAGGGGTGAAAAATGAAGTTTTACATCCTCCAGCTCTTGATGGCCACCTTTGGACTTAACAGTTCCTTTTTTCTTAGTAAGATATTTTGATCCTTAACAGCATTCCCCTACAGCCCGATAGGGAGGAGAATGTGAAGAATGAAAGGTAAAAATATTTTTTTTTTCAGAGTTTAAAAACCAGAAAACATTCTTTCATATGAAGATTATTGGTAAGGAGTATAAATCACAGTTCCAGTCTGCTAAGTATTAGTACATCAGAGCAGTGTTAGAACATCACTTTTCATCCAAAAGTAGTTCAGCAGATCATTTCATGCCACTTGCTATGAACTCACATGAAGTTGACAGAAAGAAGTGGCCCAGTAAAAATTACAGTGATGTATATTGCATCTCTAAGACAGTAACTGAACGGTTACGGATAAATGAGTGGTGGCTTGTTTCAAGTAACAGTTTAGATTAATGCTGTAGTAAGAATCTGGAATTTGCAGACACTTGTTAATTTACTGCTCTGGCTAAAATATCCTGATTTTTTCAAATTGGGAAGTTTATTAATGAACAGGATAAAAAAATGCAGCATGATATACGTATCAGTTAACTCTTTGTCTTAAGCTGTGGCCACAGAGGTTTCTCCCTGCTCTGTAAGAGATTGAGGGGTGGAAGTAACAGGCTATCAAAATAATGCTGCTTCTGTGATATTAACATTATAAAACACACAAAGCTAAGCTTGCAAAAAGACATCAGAAGAATTTTAAGAGAGTAGTTTGAGAAATAAAAGACAAAGTTGAATTGAATGGGACCAGTAAAAGGGAGTATGACCAGTGAAGTGACATGTTACTGACTGAAGTGAGTAACCTTCTATAGGCTGAATTTGTATCATCCATTAGGGACATTTTTATATCTTTCTCCATTTATGCATCTATATATTCCGTATGTGCCACCTAGGATTTTTCATCTCATCCATCAAGAATTCTATATTCTGTAATCTTTTCAGACCTGTGTCTCCTCTTACACTTTAACATCAGTAGCTTCCTTGCATCCTCTGGAGGAAGGGTTCCTTGTTACACCTTTTTCTGTAATTCTCACCATTCTTTTATGCTAAAGAGCTGTTTGATTCATTGTTATCCACCATGAAAGGTACTGCACACACATTCCTTAATTGCTTATAAATTTTTATTCTTTCAGTTTTCTGGGAGATGAGTAATGTAGTATAGCAACCATAAAAGTGCTTAGCTATATGTAGGAGCGTGTGTGTATGTATACAGGTATTCAGTTTTCTGACGGAGAACTTCCTGTGCATCATTGTTAGCATTTTTTATTACAGATCCTGGCCCCAGGTGAGAACATTGGAGAGTGGCCTTGCCTTTTGGTCTGAGTTCCTATGCTTTCTTCTATATAATTGCATGCCCAGCCAAAATCTGAAAGTCCCAATAGAAAAAGGCATCTACTGACACTAATTTTTTGTGTGGTCCTGGTTTACAAGAATGTGCATTTAATGCAAAATGTTCTCGCTGTTCTTGTTTCCTCATTGGGTCTTGATGTCAGCTACTCCAAAGTAAAAAGGAAGAAAAGGTTTTTTTGAACAGTGACTACGTTTGGTTTCTTCTCTCAGTGCTAGATACTATGTCACCACTGAAATCTTATCAGTAGTATTTCAAATTGTTATTTTTTTTTTCTAGGCACTCTTTGGGGAGAAACAAAAGGAAGAGGAAATAAAAAAAATGAAAGATGAAATGTCTCAACTTGCAGAAGATACTGCTGCAAGAATTAGAAAGGCAGTAAGTTATGACGTTTAGAAAGATTGGGAAGATTTTTTTCTTTTCCTCAGTGTGAAAAGCTATTGATGGTGCATGGTCATCATGAGCAGTTTTCTTACAAGTGTTTTGATAATATAGATAGCAAGACAGCATGCTGACAGTACTGTACTCTTCAACTTCGTTATCTAGATATATATACTTTTGAATTAAATGCTATTCTTAAATCTCTCAAGAACCAGTGCAGACACAAGTATAGAGAAGGCTGCACTGCAAAGATGTAAAGAATGGCACTTCGATTTCAGAGATTCTGTTCAGTAGCACATCAACAGACTGAGAGTTGTATTGATATCAAGGTATTTAATTTATGATACATGGCTTCATCTTGGAAGTTGCTGATGGAAGCTTGTCATGTACGTTCAGACAGTAGGACCTGTTGAAAGTTACATTATCAGGTTTTTGGCATCTCAGTGCTTAAAAATATTCCCCTATAAGGCAAGTAAGACTTTGCTACCTCGTACAGCTAACAATCAAAAGAAACCAGAATTTGGTAGAGAAATTACTAAAAAAAAAATTTGTAGTCTCTTTATGATTTTTGTTATTGTTGCTTTAAGCAGCTGAAAAATTGAAGCTTTTCTGATAAAAGACTAGTCACAAAATTAATTTTTTCCATGTTGTGTCCCATCTGCAGTTAAAATGCAGACTAATCTACCTGGATGTTCTCGACTATTATCTGTGTGTCAAAGTCACTTGCTTTATTCTAAGGCAAACTCCAGAGGCAATAAAGGCTTGTTACAGGCATGTGTTGACAATGTCTTTTGTTGCAAGTGAACAACAAAGTAAAGCGATTATCTCATTTGTAAGATTTCAGTGATGTAATTGATATTGCCTCCTTTCACTTTCTTCACTATGACACAACGTGCAGAGGTACTGTGTAAGGATGAAAGGACTCTTTCAATCCTTTCATTTCGAGAGGTTTCAGGACCATACTGCCTAAGTTTTCAGAACCTTTAAAATGAGGATAAACATGGTTTGTGCCTTCTATTTGGAAGTTTCCTGAAAGAATCACAAAAATTGTGTGCATTACTTAAAACTGTGATATTTAATGTCATACATGGTTTGGAGAAGGTGCAAGAGCTAAAGAGCAACTAGGATAACCACTCTAGTTGTGAGAATAAATGTCTAAATTCTGATTAGTAAATGAGAAGTGCCCTATTTCTTATTTTGAAATTATCTCAGTAAAAGCGAATCTTATCAAAAGCATAAAAAGTAAAATTTTAAACTATGAGTTGTCATGTTTCTCTAGGTATTAACAAATACTTTTTTTTATGTGATCTAAAAATATCTGTTTACACAAATTGCAAATATCTTGCACCTAATGGACAGTAGCTTTTCTGATAGTATTGTTCTTTTTGCAAGGTCTTGTTGTGATGTCTTCCTTTCTGCTTTTTTTTTTTAAACACAAGTGTATGCATTGATAATAAGCATTCTTCTAACATTTATATAATAAGATTTGTCAGTTATTGCGGTCCCCTATATTTTGATACTTTTATACATGCATCACATATAAACTATATATATATAAAAAACAGGATGGAAAAATAGTTCATGGGATTAATTTTTTAGTTTCACTTGTTTTTGATCACAGGTAGACTCTGCAAAGAAGCAATATAATGTGCAGATTTCTCGACTCACAGAAGAACTTTCAGCTCTTCAGATGGTATGGTGTTGACTGAAAGTGGTTTTGATAGCAAAACATTTGAGACTTCTAGGGTTTTTTATCAAGTAAAACTAAATTCAGGTAAAAGTCAAATATGATTAATGGATAATTGTGTAGGACTATTCTTTATTACTGCGTAGCACTTTACAGTCTGCAGACATTAACGCAACATACAGTGTCTTTCATTTTACTTGACAAAAGCAACTGTGTGCAGTGTCTTAACAGATTCAAATTTAGATGTAAAGGATATTTGCTCTGAAAATTAATTTTTAATGTGCAGATTTACCTTACGTGTATACAATCATTTACTAAGAATCTTGACTGGCTCTGCCTGAAATAATACAGTTCTGCAAATCCATGCATTTCTTTGTGTAAGTTTATTCCTTGAATTATGCATATCTTTATCATAGTTCACAAGATCTTGACAGTGAGATTCTGTGCTCTAGAAAACATTTCCCATATGATGGCTTTCCTTTTCCTAAGTATCCCTGTTTCCTTCATGGATTCATAAAGCATGGAAAGCTGAGTATTGCATACCTATAGTTGGATATGTAGAAATGAAGTATCTGAAAGTTGATAATGCTAAGAGAAAGTCTGTGCATCACAATCATCATATTCTTGAATGAACCAGGAACTTGTAACAAATTATGTGGGAGACCAAAAGAGCTTGGTGCATATGCACCTATTTATGGATTACATTTATTAAAGAAAGGTTTCATTTTATGTGTATTAGCCTGTGTAGTGAATGAGACTGATCCTATAGAGAAAATAATGAGCAGGTAAATATAATCAAATACGTACATACCAGTGGCAAGAATTACATTTACAATGGCTTGTTTTTGGCTTTGGCACTTCTTGAATTTTTATTTTTAGTTATTTTTTATTAGATTTATTTAAAAATGACTTTTTAAAATAGGAATGTGGAGAAAAACAGGGTCAAATTGAACGCGCCATTAGAGAAAAGAGAGCAGTGGAAGAAGAACTTGAAAAGGTAAATCAATTGCATACATTTTACATCACGTTTAAGATCTCTTTTCAGAAGGAAAAGATAAATTGATTTTTCCCATTTCTCGTGGGTTTTTTTCCCCTTAATGTTCTTATTTTATTTTTTGAGTAGGTTTTCTTAATTGTAAATTTTCATGTAATTATTTTAAGGTTGGGGTTTTTTAATCCAGAAAGTGTTTTAAAGCTGTAATACTAAACTGAAAAAGAGGGTTCTTTGAAAAGTGTAAAAAGTAAAAGGAGAGATGTTTGACATAATCTGAAAGAATGTTGGTACATATTACAGTTAAACTTAAGCTCAATAGACAGAAAACTAAATGAACGCTAGATCTTTGAAAACCTTTTTTCCAAGTAGCAGCAACAATGATAGAAATTCAGTTTTGTTTTAAATCACTGGAAAGTAGGACACACTGAGTAGTAAGTAGCTTCCTTGTCAGTACTGTGCTGCCAATCACCAGTGCAAGGTAAAGATGATCTTACATGTAAGTTTATTCTTCAGATTTACAGGGAAGACAGAGGACATGAATCTGACACTAGAAAACTAGAGCAACTGCATCAGAAATATTTACTTGCAGAAACTGCAAAAGGTGACCTTCAGCTAAGTCTACAGACAACACAAAATAAACTGAAACAACTGGAAATGACGTAAGTGATGGGTGTTACAGAAATTAGAATGGAAAACAATGGAAATTATTTCTGACTATTTAAATTGTTGCTTATGTGTTAGATTTTTTGTCACTTTTTTTTAAACCAGTAGCAGGAATAGTATCAAGATACCGTAATTTTGAAGCAAGGGCAATTAAAAGAATTAAAGGGGATAACATGCTATACAATGAAAGCTTTTCTTTACAAGACAAGAACTGCAAGCAGTTGTTTGACAAAAAAAATGAAAATAGGAGTATATTATTTGGAATCTTACTGCATTTTTAAATACTGTTTCTAGGAAAAGTTAGTCTATGAAATATTCAGGCAGAATTTATTACTTTATAAATTCATCTATAGCGTGGTATCTCCTAGTACATGCAGAACACTGTTTACATAGCATACTGAATTTCAGGTCTGTGTTCAGAGCTAATAGGCATTATTGCAGTTCCAATAATACAGTGGTAAAAAATACAATGTGGCACATATTTTTAGACCAGGTTGTTGTTTTAAGCATGAAAAGTGTAGGAGCTTCAGTATTTCTGTACTCTGATGATCGTAAATCCTGTCACTTCACCAGAGCAATCCTCAGTTGGGAATCTGGAAATGTTATAAAAATTAAAATCTTCAGTTTCACGTTGTCATTTTACTGAGATTGTTACAATATTAGGTTGATTTTATGAATTCCATCATCTTGATAAAATTCTTTGCTGACTTGTGCATATTTGTAGCTGTCAAGCCCATTAGACATGCTGAGCTGATGCCAACTTTCAGGAAGGAACAGGGGAAAGCTGTACTGAGTCAGACCTTTTCTGTAGTACAGTAGTTGTTCAGCTCTTGAGTTCCAACAAGACTTTTCTTCTTTTTCAGCTCTGAGGAAGAGAAATCTCGTTGCCAGGAAATTATCTGTAAATTGCAAAGTATTCTGGATTCAGAAAGAGAAAAGAGTGCCTTTGTCAGTGAACAAAGGCTAAAACTTCAGCAAGAGAATGAACAATTGCAAAAAGAAATGGAGGGCTTGAGAAAACTGGCTGTAGAGGCTCAACAAAAAGCTAAAATAAAGGTATGGTTTATAGGTTATTTTTGTTTTAACGTAAGACTGATATTTGCTTAATAAGGCAGCAATTCTAAGAGAAAATCATTGAAAGTTTAAATTAAGGACGAACATTTCAATGATGCTTCCTAGTTTCTACTTTAAAGTATTTTTGTTGTAGCATTGTGTGTCCTCAGAATCTATTGGGTAACTCAATCTCTGCCAATTAAATTCTGCTTGATAAGAAAAGCCCAAATGTTCTTTGCTTTTTGTGAGATGAATAGATTAACTAATAACATAGTTTCCTTCAAGTGATTTCACTTACTCCAATTCCAGATCTTCATTAATCTATTGTCCATAATGTGTTAGGAATCTCTGTACAACTTTCAGTCCAGAGTGTTCCTCTACTTGTACGTCCATGTTGTCAGAGCAGTGTGTAACTAATAATTTCATAGTGCGGTTGTCAAACATTGGTTCTGTATTTTCTGGACAGAGAATGTTTTTCTATATGAATAGTTGCAAACAAGAAAATTAGCTGGAAAATGGATGTTCGTTTTGAATGTGTTCCATTAAATGCACCTGAACAGACTTCAGGTGGGAGAATGAATTAATAGTATCCTCAGCAAATTCGTGGTACCTTTGGCTTCTGGATGGAGGAACAGCTTTGGTCCTGGATGTGCTTTCCAAACATACAAAGCTGGTATTTTCCCCTCTGATCTTAACTCCAGGAGTATAAAGATATTGAAAAGGAATCTGAGAATCTGCAGCAATGAAGAAGACTTCAGTAAGCAGTTTTACAAGTTATGAATGGGGACCATCTCAAATCTGGTCTTCAATTTGCACCACAAGATAAAGGAAGCAGTCAAATTAAATAGGAAGTCTTGTTCCAACTCCAGAACCCTTTGGTCAAACATAGTTTAAAAACAAAGGATCAGAGTCTTGGAACAGAGAGGTAGCGGTTATAAAGCATACACCAGATCTTCGTCTCATTTTTAATCAGACAGGCTTCCATTATAGTCACAGATAAGATTTATTGCTTGCTTTCATTTTCCTCTAATGTACAAAGGATTTGTAGATGCAGTTAAGAAACTCCTAACACATTTTAGCTAGATGAAATAGAAAGAACGTGCTTCTGTGGAGAAAACACAAGGGAGAGAAAGATAAAGATTATTTATAAAAATAAGCATACACAGCTCATTATCCTTTATTGTCAGTTGTACTATTTGCTTAAATTTGCTTTGGAACATGTATCTATTTGAGCATCTAACTGCACGTTTAATTACTGTATGTTACATGTGTTCAACAGATGTTTATAAATTAACTCGTGTTGTTAAAAAGTAAAAAGTGAGAGACTTGATTATACCCGATTTGTATTTTTTCTAGATAAGCACAATGGAGCATGAGCATGCTGTGAAAGAACACGGGTATGAAGCTCGACTTAAGGAAATGGAAGACACCAGTCAAAAGTCTACTGCTGAACTTAGACGTCTGTTAGTAGCTCAGCAAAAAGCAACAAATCGGTGGAAAGAAGAAACAAAAAATCTTACTGAAACTACAGAAGCCAGGATCAGTAAGCTAAAGTAAGTGCAATTTTGTTCCTCTTCTGGAAGCTGTTACAGTTTTAGTTACTGTTTGGTGTATGGCAGTAGACCTGTGGTGAAAAAACATGAAGAGCAAACCATCCGGCCTAGATGATGTGCTTCTGGCAAAACAAGAATGAATGTTCTAAGGAGAACTTTGATGCTCTTTGTGAAGTTAGCACTGAAGTAAAAATTTTGCATCTTGTTCATGTGTGTGAATTTTGTAATGACAAAAAGTAAATGGACTATATTACTTTTAATTTTCTCTTTGGAGGTAAGCATGCTCAATTCAGAGAATTTTAGCTTTGGATTATTAAAACCTCTGTAGCTATTCAGAACAGTCATCATAAAATGAGTTGTGGAGTGAGTCTCCAGACTTACAAAATAAGCTGGAAAAAACCTATTGGGATGCACATCTAATGTTCTCTCCTGAGCAGTTGCTGTCATAAATGAGGATACAAAAGAGTTGTGTGATTGCCCTAAGCAAAAATAGGCTATAAACTTAATTTTTTCTCTTAATTCGTAGAGGTTGCCAGGTAACTAGCTGATACTTGTATTCCCAGCACAGAATATAAGAATATTTTCAGTTTTGAAAGGGCCTAGTAACAAGGGAATCTCACGCAACAAACACAGATAAAGGTTACATACCATTCCTAGGTGCTGGGGAATACAAGCACCTATGGTGCCTGTGAGCCTATACACAGACAGACATCAACTGGTTTAGAGAAGACAGTGGTGTTATTGGAAATGAGTGAGTAGAGAAGGAAGTATTCCAATGAGAAATTAGCCATTTGCAAGTTATGCCTGAAGTAAAGTCTACAAGCTTATCTTTGTTTTAAATGCAGACTTCTATAGATAGTGTTTGCTTGCTTAGAGAAGAGTATAACATTGCATATATCATTATGTTTTAGGAAGTGCATTCAGTAGTTTTTAGAAGAAAAAATTCAGGGTATGCAGCTCTGTTAATTTGAGAAATTTGAAACGACCCTTTAAGTCACTTACAGCACAGGGTGCACTCACGTATAGTTCTTTGCTCAGATTGATTTTAGAAGTTACTATCATGTTAACAAGGAAACAAAGTTTTTGCCCTATTAAAATTGGAAACCTGTGAATTCTAGCTTTTATTTCCTTTGGAGTAATCTTTGGGTTTTTCAGGTTTTATTATTATAATGGTTTATATATTCTCAGCTCAAACCATAATATTTCCAGTATCCTATGCAATTTTGGAGTCACAATTTTTTAAGCATAGTTTGACATTTCTTAGTTGTCAGAATGCCAACGATATGAGTGGAATTAGAACCCAAGTTTCTAAACCTGAAGAAGTAAAATAACTTCCTGAAAATGTTGCCTACAACAAATCTACCCTACTACTACTCTAACTTGGTTTTCAGTCTTTTTTACAGAATTATGTGAATTTGACGTCCAGTGAACTTTGCAAATAGCAGTCTCACATGTAGTAGTTCTTCCCTTTGAAACCAGTTTCATTCCTCTTTAAAGTGACACAGTGTCTATCGTGACTAGTTGTACCTATTGTCTGTCCAAATAGAGGAATGCTCTGAGTTCCATCCTGCTTGAAATCCAAGAATGATTGATAAAACATTTATTGATGACCTTTCTGTTTTACTAGCAGCTTCACTGATCTGCTTTTCCTTTTTTCAAGTGCTCCTTTTCTGAGTTTTCACAACACTTTGTAGTGGTAGTGGAGTGTTACCTATGATAACTAGTTCAGTTTAAATTTTTCAGATAGTTCAAAATCATACTAAATCCAATTAGAGATAACACTTTTGCCCATTTTTCTAGAAAAACAAGTCCTACATAATCACTCTGGTTATTTTTACCTCTCCTACGTAAACAGTTTGGGAGCTTTTTCCTTATCTGTCCAGATATAGGCTGGCTTTATTTGGCTCAAAAAATACTGTGTTTTGCAAAGATTACTAAACACTTCAGTAAAAAGGCAAAAAGTCTCTTTCAGAAGACATCACAGTGTTAAGCGCGTCTGTGAGACACTGGGAGCTGTGCTTATTCACTGACAGTTTTAGTGGTATAGCTTCACTGTAAGTAATTAGCTGGGTCTTGCTAATGCTTTTTTGGCATCTTTTGTAAATGCAGTAACTGGAGAAGAAAAATATTTTGTAGTGGTTCATGCTAAGGTAAATTTAAGCTGTTAAGCTGGTAGTTTATTTTCTGTAAATGAAACTACGACGACTCTCACAATTTAGCATCTAGGTTCATAACTAGATCCTGAATGTAGTTCAGCAATTTCCACTTAAAAGGGAAAAATTACAGACTTGCACAACAATGAAAAGTTGACTGTGAAAGAGCTGCTTTCCTTCTTAAAGCTTTAATGTTAAGTGTTAATATGTTGTTATCGTGGACCACAAGCTTTATACCTTATTTACCTGCAGCAAAATGCTGACAGAGGAAATACAACAGACATGAGAGGAACCTGCATGAAAAATAGGTAGTAAACTTTGAAAATGTCTCTGTTTATGTGAGAGACTGCCTATGTGGCATCATCTGGAAAACTCCTGCAATAATTTAACATCCTTTATCAGCGAATACTGCCTGATGAGCAGAATAGAAAAAATGTTCATCTCATATTAAAAATTGTAAGTCTACACTAAGTCCAAATGATTCTCTGTGACTTCAGTAGATATTTTGGTGCAAGTCTAAAAGCAGTCATTTACTTTGTGAGATGATTTCATAGGTGATGAAATCATTTACGTACTGTATAAACTAGAAGCAGATGTTTTTATCAGACATTTGCTCTACCTAACAAGGAAGTCAGCAATAGAAACAAGTTCTCTGTTAGAAGGTTGTAATTTAAACTGACATAAGGAATTTTGTAATTAAATCTGTGCAGTAATGCTCTGATATTCCAGTGACAAGTGACTATAATAGAACCTATAAATGTTACCTAGAAAATTTAAAACCAGCTTATTTTTCACATTATATGCATTACCAGATACCTAGCTATATGGTGCAGAATGCAGTTAGTATGAAAATTAGCTCCTAAGTTACACAGTAGTAGTAATACAATGCAAAGTCCTTGCTGATATTAGAAATGAATAGTTATCATATTTAGTTTTACTTATCACAATAACATTTTAAGTAAGTATTTTGAGTGCAAGTACAGAATAGCAGATCACTTCTTACTCTGTTGTGAACTAAAATAAAGTTGCTGATTATTTAAAAAGCAAACTTTTGCAGCAAATGCATTTAACACAGAAATATCAGCAAGACTACTAAACAATAGATTGATCCTGGCTAAGCAGGCTCCATTGAATTAAAGGCTCTGTTTGAAAGTCCTCTTGAGGCTGATGCAGGAAATAGTATCACCAAGCCTTACAGCAGGGTCCAAGTGAAAGGCCGATGTTCACCCAGCTTTCCTACATACATACATTTTTAAGTTTGTGTGGTTTTGAGAGGGTTAGTTAAGCTGTGAGCTTCTAAGGAAAACTTACTACCTTCCTTAGAAACTTCATCTTGTGACTGAGCAGCAAGGCTAGGAACTTAGATGAAGATACCAACATACCTTTTTTGGATTTAAACAGAGAGCTCTTCAAGTTTAGCAGCATATTATGGTTATTTAGTATATTTTCAGGACAGTCTGAGACATTCCTTGGCACTTCATGTGCTGTTTGATGTATCGGATTCATGTAAATATATAAGCAAATACAGAGATTGTGTTGGTGACATGTAGCAGAATTTCAGTTTTTAATAAGAATTATTACTCTTACAGCATAGTAACATGCTTTATAAGTGAATGTTTTTCAGGAAGTTAAAAACTTCCTAACAAAGTCATATCCGTGTATACCGGGGAGATAGTTTACATAAAAGCATTTTATATTGCATTTCACCAGAAGTTTGCTGTTAGTGCAGCTCTCATAAGGAACGAGTCAGTGTCTCATTTGTTAGTGTGGGTGTTTCCCAGTCCTTTCCGTTAAATTCATGATCTGTTGCTGGTTTTCACTTCTATCCTCATTACCTTCGTTTTCCATGTGAAGGTGTCTGAAACATTTTGGCTTCATTACTAACTTCCCAGCAGCAGCCGCTAACTTTTTCCCTATTCTGTACTGCTCATTTGTCATCTTTTAAGTCTCCAGTGTTTTGTTTGTGAGGTGTAATATATACGCATAAAGGAAGCATTAAATAAATATTTTTAAGCAATGAAGCAACATCATTAGGTGATATTTAATTTAAAAAAAATAAGAAAAAAAATAAGAAAAAAATTTCAACCTGTAATAGTAGAGCAGAGTGGTGATTTTTTAAATAATATGAGAATCTAGTAGATCAGTGAAAAATCTGTAGATAAAAATGTTGATAAATTGATACTTTCAGGCTTCACTGAAAATAATTGTGTGCTTTCTTGGACACTTGGGTCTCAGTTCAAGTTAAACATGTAACAGTAGCCTATAAAACTGAACTTGGAATTAAAAAAAACAGTGCTGAAACAGTAGGCAATGCATTGAATACTTGTAGACTAAATTCCACCATTTTCTTTATAAAAACACATTACAGTCTTCATTTATGAGAAGAGTTTTCTTCACTCTAAGCATCTTAAGATGCTGTACTTTCAGAAGGATTTCTTGGTAATAGGCCTCATCTTCATCTTGCAAGAGGGCAAGGAACCAGTTTTACTTCAATATGCTTGTGCCAAAAGTCAATCTTGAAGGTAACTAAGATGGTCAGTGCTTCTTGCAACATAGGTCATTGTTTCAAATAAAAACATTGCTCTTGGCAGCATGACTAACCACTCATGACTAATGTTTATTCTCTTTATTCCTGCAAAACATCTGGTCTGGCACACTATGAAATGAAACCGTTCTTTCGCATCCATTTTAGGTGTACTTTGAGTTTTAATGACATCTACTGAAGTGAACTTAGCAAATATTTACAATTATAAAATAGTTATGCAAGTAAATGATTACTGTTAAAGGTTGTAAAAAAAGTGGCATAGCACTCATATTTACTTAAAGATGCGTTGTCCCAAGGCTTTT